CGACAACAACGGCAAATCGTCCTAAAACCGATCAAGCACGACCACCGAACCCTTGCCGTTTCTGCGGAGGCGACCATTGGAACCGCCAATGCCCTAATGCCCCTACGGTTTCGGGAAACGGCGGAGCTTAGTTCCTTCCTCCAGCAAATATAAAAAGTTACCACAACCAACGTTATCGAAAAGGCGAACCGCGCGGAAAATAACCAGTCTTGTTACGCAAGGTATACCACCCTTATCGTATAATATCGACGCAATGTCACTTGTACGCAACCCTTAGGCTACAGACCCGATAAAGAAAGAAAAAAAAATACTACCCTTATAGATTTTAAACCCTTTGAACCGCGAACTACTGGTAAGGAAATTTCAGAAAATGCTCCTCCACCGTCCCCAGATGACATCCCTGATTTACAGACCACTTTTGTAAAAAGCACCCTTTCGGCTCCCCCATTTAGGAAATGGGCCCAATACCTCCGAATATTATAAGGAGGAATATGTAATCGAAACGAAAACCCCACTAATGGCGAGTAAAACCGTCAGTGAGTCAATCAATTTCGTGGTTAAAAACCAATTACACCCGCCCACTAATAAATTATTCGAAATAGACAGGAGCCCACGAACATGTCCGAAGAAAATTACAACTCCTGCAGTTGAATTAGAATTCGAAACGGACTTCGTAACAGCCCTATTAGATTCCCAAGCCATTAAGTCGTACGTAAGCCTAGACATTGCAAGAAAATTTGGTACTGTAATAAATGGACTAAAAACCACCGTAAGGCTGGCAGACGACCACACTACCCTCACTAGTGGGACCGTAATTTTTGACGCTAAAATAGCCAAACTGGATATCCAGTTTACCGCGGCTATCTTAAATAACTTGTACTGCGACGACGTATTATTAGGACATGACTTTTTATCATCGCAAGAAGTTTCTTGGGATTACGGCGCAGGCACTATCCATCTAGGAGCGAACAAGCGAACAACCGCATATTGGAGAGCCGGCCATACTCTTACCACTCCTAGGCCAGATCTTCTTCAGTTAGACATTGCAGGTGACCCGAGCACTCAGACACTATTGACTCAAACGCTGTTGCGATAATCCGAAGTCTTTAGCAATGTTGTAGGGCGCACTAAACTGATTAAGCATGGCATCCTTCTAAAAAGCCCAACCCCTATCACCTTAAAATAATATCCCTACCCACAGCAAAAACAGCAGATCATAGACGATATGGTTATAGACATGGAAGGTCGAGGTTTAATTGAACCTAGTACCTCCCCATTCGCCGCTCCGATAGTTTTGGCGAAGAAGAAGGACGGTTCGTTCCACCTTTACGTTGACTATAGGAGATTAAATGAGGCTACTATCTCTGACGCTTACCCCATGCCTAACCTTAACGATATGATCAGAAATATGCGAGGAGCTCAGATATTTAGTGTGTTTGATCTTAAAAGCAGATTTTGGCAGGTCTCCCTCAACCCCAATACCCGCAAATTTACCGCTTTTCGAACTCAAAGAGGACTTTATCAATTTAAAGTCAATCCCTTCGGTTTAAAAAACTCCCCTGTGAATTTTGTCCGCCTAATGAACGAGGTACTAAGAGGGTATTTGGGTAACTTCGTACAGATCTATTTAGATGATATAGTAGTATATTCAAATAGCTTGTATGACCACTTTAACCACTTAGAAAAAGTATTCGAGCGGCTAAAAATACATGGACTAACCATGCCAAGTAAAAAAATGCAAAGTAGGGTTCCCCGAAATCACTTTCCACGGTCATTTAGTCAACGCAGACGGGATCGAAAAACACACAGAAAAACTCGAGGCTATATGCGCTTTTTCACCCCACCAAAACGTAAGAGACCTTCGTAAATTTTTAGGAGGCTGCAATTGGTACAGCCAATTTGTAGACAACTACGCCGACACCGTGGCCCCCCTAAATGATTTACTGAAACAAGAAAATAAATGGTCTTGGTCGACAGCTGCACAGATTGCCTTCGAAAAGGTCAAAACTTCCCTGTGCAACCCGCCAAGACTATCTCCTCCTGACTACTTAAAACCGTTTTGCTTTCAAACTGATGCCAGTGAGATAGGTGTCGGAGCGATTCTTTTTCAAAAGGGCGATCACCCTGCGGAAAGGCGAATAATTTCTTACGCTAGCAAAAAGTTATCGGAGACGCAAAAGCGATACGCAGTGGTAGAGAGGGAGTGTCTCGCTATTATATGGGCGACAGACAAATTCCGTCCTTATCTAGAATACCTACCCTTTGAATTACTCACAGACAATTCAGCCCTCGTCTGGTTACACAAAGCTATAGACAACAATTCTAAATTGACCCGATGGTCACGCCATTTAGGTAATTTAGATTTTACCACCACACATGTTCCTGGTAAACTTAACGAGGGTCCAGATATGTTGTCACGCTACCCCGCCGCCGGTCCTACCGTAAATGAAGATACTCTCGATGAAAACCTTTAGGGCGCCCCAATTGTTCAGTTACACAATTCGATAAGTAGGCCCAATGATAGTGTCTTTGCTATTACCCAAGCAGTAGATAAGCCAAACAGCTTATCGTTTACTGAGACTGAAATAAAACAATGACAATCAGCGGACCCTAAATTAATACTACTGGTTGAACATTTGTTTTCGGATTACCCTGCGCGTAATACTAGACAGACCGACATTAAAAAAAATGAGTTCGTTTTACTTAACGGGTTGATTAGAAAACATATAGGGAATGACACACCAGTAGTGATACCCCCCATTAAAGCAGACCGCGTAATACGGGAATATCATGATAGCCCTCTTGCTTGTCACCCTGGTTGGAAAAAGACATACAGGGCAATTAAACAACGGTTTTATTGGCCGAGGTTAAAGCACAGGATCCGTATGTACGTGAAATCATGTCATATTTGTGCGTGTACTAAACTATTCAATGTGCGTCCCGAAGACCCATTGACCGTCCGTAAACCACGCTTTCCGTGGAAGGTAATCAGTATAGATTTAATGGGCCCCTATCCAAGAACAAGTAGGGGAAAAACATATCTACTGGTTGCTACTGACTGTTTTAGCCGTTGATTCGAAGCTTATCCTATAGGTGCGCCAACTACTAAAACTATAACCGAAACGTTAGAACGCGAGTTTTTCTCCCGTTTTGGGTACCCACGAGTATGTCTCAGCGATAATGGCCTCCAATTCGTTTCACACGAAATGATCGGCGCCCTTAACGCGTGAGGAACAGAAGGTTGGACGATCCCTATATACCACCCCCGTGCTAATCCAGTCGAGCGTCAGAACCAAGAGCTGAAAAAAGGACTTCGAGCATTATTAGCGGACGAACGTCACACCTCTTGGGACTTAAAAATTCCTCCCATTCTTTTTGCTATAAGAAATCGTCGAAACGAACAAACAGGGTACCCTCCCTCCGTCTTAATTCTGAGAAAGCAAACACCCAGCCGACTGGACTTTATTACATAACGAGCTTAACCAATTATTAAAAATTAACAACCAACGACAAGAGCGTGAAAAAAAATGACAACTTTTAACACCGTTGTGAACCCAACCAATAAAGGAAGTAAGACCTTCACCATTGGTAACACCGTCTACTATAAAACACATCCTCTATCGAACGCAGAAAAAAAATTTCACGCAGGCTTTGCACCAAAATGGTGGGGCCCGGTCAGGTTAAAAGAGAAAATCAGCCAAGGGGTCTTCCTTATCGATAAAATACCACTTCGCAAAGTACATGTTTCTTGTCTTAAACCCCGCGCATACATACTAAGAAGTATGAAATTTTACTACAGCTGGTGACTAAGCTGAAGACTGACTTTTTAATTATCTATGTGATTCTGTTTGCCTTAGGAAAAAAAAATGGAAAACAACAAAAAAACCCTCTCCTTTACTGGTAACGAGACGGTAGACCTCCTGTTGCTTCGTTTGGTTGAGCTCAACGAGCAAAGTCGCCAAACATTGTGGCAGATAAGGGCTGCCTTGCGTTAACGAATTTTCCCTACCTCAACCTCGAGGACAAGATGGCGTACATCCTCGACGTTGTCACTGTGACAACGGGAAGAAGACAGCGTATTATTTCTGACGGGTTGTCGTCAGCCGTGCAGTACTTGCTGGATTTTGCACCATTGCGTATGGCACGCGGTGTTGGTCAGTCAAATACTATGAGTATTTTATCAGACTGACTGATAAAAATGACACGAGACGAAGAGTATCGTGTATCACGAAGCGATGCGGGGCTGTGTCAGTATCATTAAAGAAGGTAGCGTCTTGTCTTTAGATTCAGCGTTGGTCACATTTTCTAAAAACAATTTTTTTCTTTATTTATTTTAGTATTTATGTATCTAAAATAATTTTAAAATACCGGTAAAGCTACTAGATAAGTTTTAATAAAAAAACAAAACAACAACTTTGCCCTCAAACGTAATTTATATATTGAGTTTTGTTTTATGTTTATAAAATTTGTTTTTAAAATACAGTTTTAATGTAGAATTTTTAATAATAATATATATATATATATATATATGAGAATTACTTCCACAGTAATAAATATAGAACATTATTATTAATTGAATAAATAAATATAAATTAAATGATTCAACAAACAATATTCACGTTATAAAAAATGATGTGAAAATATACTCAAATAAAATTTTAAATAATTTAGTATTGTATTAAAATAAAATGAGATACTCGAAAATAACTGTTTGAAATTTGCTTTACCGTTTTAAACAAAATATTTTTCATAATTCTAATAATCTCACTTGATTTTCACTATTATCTCTATGGTCGCTGAATAATTCGAATATTTGAATAAATGTTGAATATGATAAAATGCTTTTTAAGTTAACATTTTGGAATGATTTATTGAATAATTCCATAAATAAATATATTCTTACTAAACTCATATTCATATCATTCGAATCTGTGAATATCTCTAAATGTTCAATAGTATTGATAGCATCAACACTTAATATAGTATCAGAAATATATACATTAGTTNGTATTGATAGCATCAACACTTAATATAGTATCAGAAATATATACATTAGTTCTAATATTGATATTCGATTTGTACCCTGGATCACTAATTAAATTATTTAAAATAAGATTAAAAGAGTTCGGTTTTATTTTGTTAATTATGCTTTCGATTTTTGAAATAATGACAATAAAATATAAATTAAAATTTTCAGTGAATATCGGTAATTCGGTAAAAGACTTGAATATTTGTTGTACATCTTGAACTTCTTGCCCATCAAAACACTTAACATAATTCGCAACTATACAATACATTCGTTCTAAACCACTCTTTGCATTTTTTTTATTTAACATTAATGTACTGTATATCAAACTTTCTCTTATTAAATGCATTAAAACGGTTTTAAATACATTTGACACTTTTTGTTGGTAAATTCCAATTTGTTTTATCCATATATCAAACCTAAAATAATTCTTTGCCTTTGTATATTCCTCATATATTTCACTGTAAATAGCTTCGAAATTATCTTCACTCTGTTCACCAAAATCCATTATAATAGTTTTCAATAATTCTTTCTTATCAATTATGTCATATAGGTAAATATTTTTGAATGAAAACCAACTTTCTTGTTCTTCTGTATTTTTTAATACATTTTTATTCTTTTCTTTTCTTTGATTCATAACATCTATTAGATTCGTGAGTGTTGAATATGTGTCCATAATATTCAAAGGAANCCATAATATTCAAAGGAATATTCTTTACGTCATATTTATTATTTTTTCGACATAATTGTACACTTATATATTTTAATAACTTGTAAACGATTAGATGAGTCGGTTTAATAATCCTGCGATATTGATATATTTCATTACCAAACAATTGAATATATTTAGTGTATAAATGTATTATCCAAAAAATTGTTAGTTTTTTTCCGATATCACACTTGAACAATGTTACTAAATATTGTTTTGTAATTGATTCATTTAAAATTACCCTGTTTATATTATCAGTTTGTGGAGGTGAAATACTAATGAAAATGGAAAAAAGAACCAAATATTGAAGAAAATTAAATATATTACCACAAAAAAGGTCCAATCCAATTATGTTTGTTTTTTTAGTTATTACAATATTTTCAGGGTATTGATCACCTGCCCAGATTTTATTTTTGAAATCTGAAAATGACAAATTACATAGCTCATCATAATTAGGATAATCAAATCCAGTGTCTAATTTTAAAGCAGTTTCTAATGGTTTATCAATATGACTGTTGAATAATATTCCGTAACATAATATTGTCTCCAGAACACATAAAAAATAAAGTAATAGAGTATATTTTTTAAAAATCATTTTTAATTGTTAATGTATAAATTGTTTAATAATGTATAATCTTTTAAGATATAAATTTTTACTCATTGTTAAATTTAAATACTCATTGTAAGTATTTTATTTGTGATTACTTAAGTAGAATTATTAATTTCAAAAATAGATCGCATAAAACAAA